TAATTAAGTAAACGAGTAAAGATGTAGCATCATTTGTTTGCATATGCCATTTTGATAGTTTCTTATCTAATGCAATACAATTCGGAAATTTTAAGTGTGGTTTAAGTGTCTGTATTTGACATTAAACAGCGCGGCGCCATCAGCTGATCACCGGATGGGTCCGAGTGACTTTCACTCACCTCAAACGCCGGCTGGGATCGGACGGGTAGACAGAGTTCCTCTCGTGCACATGGGCAAGCGTTGGACCACACTTGCACGGTCAAAGTTAGCACGAAGAGAGATAGAGTAATCCACATGTTGATGCTAAAACATATAATAAAACACTGTAACGAAGAACATAACTTCTGTCTACAAATCAACAAGACAGAAACAATACTTACTAACATGTGACCCCACTGAAATAAAAGGAATCGATGAGAAACACACATGAAACTGAGACACAAAGGGGGCGGAGTCAACTGAATCGGACTGTTTTCATTGGTCTGGTTCGATGACATAATTTCTATGACATGAAACTTTACATGGTAAATAAAGAGATTTTATTAATGCACTTCAAACTCTGTGCAATAATGCCAATGCTTCAATCAAATTACAACAAGGTACTACTCATAGGTTTATTATAGATAGAGGCGTCCCTCAAGGCTGCCCATCTCACCATAACTTTTTCTGCGTCCTATGCAATTAGTAGTCATCCACATTCAAAATAGTCATTTTGAAAGGTATTACGGTGTTTATTCTGTTTGGTTTTAATAATAATGGTACTGTCACATTCACCATTGATCATCAATTTTTCGTGTGCAAAATTCAGTCATTTCAATAGGAATCCCTGTGTGAGCAATATTGCTACAGTATTGGCAATAGACAACGAACCCTTTGATTTCGCAGAGATTGCTAAATTAAGTGTGTTATACCAAAATGTATTTAAGATAAGATAAGATTTAATAAAATAAAACATTTTAAATACATTTTTCTGCTATTCAGCTATTAAGCTACTTTTATGCCCATCAATCAAATCATCACAGAATGATTCAGTACGATTCGTGAACAGATCAGTTTGTTCATGTCAGTAAAGGGGTCATATGATGCGATTAAAATTTTTCCTTTCTCTTTGGAGTGTTACAAGCTCTTGGTGCATAAAGAAGATCTGTAAAGTTGCAAAGACTAAAGTCTCAAATCCAAAGAGATATTCTTTATAAAAGTTAAGAGTCAACCACGCCGACCTAAAACGGCTCTAACACGCCCCCACATGTTTACGTCACGATGTGGGAAGATTTGCATAACGCCGCCCAAATGTGCACGCAAAGAAAGAAGGTGTAACTTTTATTCTCGCTGTAGTATTGTTGCTGACGCCGCCACCATGTCATGAAGGCGCTGTGTGTTTCGTTATGAAAGCGAAACTACTTTGTTTGGCCTTCCAAAAGAGGACGATATCCAATTACTAAAACTTAAAATTTTATTATTAAAAAAATACTAAAAATTAAAATGAAAACTGAAAACAGACTAGTTAAAAAAATATAATAAAAAAATAAAAATGTAAAAATAATCCAAAGAAAAATATGTTTTGTTTGAAATCTTCACTTGACCCTCCAACACTATTCTATTTCTATTTTATCTACTTGTTTTTCTTTTTATTTAAAAAAAACTTGACCCTCTGACACTTGCACTCTCTATTCTATTTCTATTTTAACTACTTGTTTTCTTTTTTATTTATTATAAAAAAACTTGACCCTCTAACACTAACACTCTCTATTCTATTTCTATTCTACCTACTTGTTTTTCTTATGATTTATTAAACTAATAATTCATAAGATTTATGATACTAAATCATAAAAATAATCTTTTGTGTTTTTTATGTTATGTAACAGTGTAAATGAATAAGCTGAAGGATCATTAAGCGTAACCACCTAACCACGTTTTTTCACATGATTTCTTTAACATTGACCCAGCTACAACAACACCTGAAGTGTGAATGGTCCTTCATGAGCCACAGTACGCCCTCTGTTGGACACAAAGACTTCTAGATGTACATGTATCAGCCATTCTACTAATTTCAGTTCATCAGCACCCTGAACTTCCTCATACTTGTGAACAGGGAAGTTATATATTCTCTGAGGATTTAATGACTTTAATTATGCCTTCTTGTGACATATATGACAAGATACTGCCTTCCTGAGGTCATCTTGAGGTTTCAAAGTTGAAAAAAAAAATTATTAATCAATATACACTACAGTCAAATGTTTGGACACACCTACTAATTCTTTATTTTAAGAAGGGGAGACTGTGACAACAACTTAACCCCAACAACTTGTGTTCACTGTGCATAACTGTTACTCAAAAGAATGATATCGAATTGGATATCGTTATAATAAAAAGGTGAGTTTTATGACATTACATGACATTTTACATTTTACATGATATTTTATATGAAATTTACATGACATTTATGCCGTCCTGCAGATTTGCCT